GAGAGAGAGAGAGAGAGAGAGAGAGAGAGAGAGAGAGAGAGAGAGAGAGAGAGAGAAGGGGGGGGCGCGTGCTACTTCGTTTCTTCTTTGCCTTTTGCCTTCCAGGAAATGTTGCGAAATGAACGCCCGGCATTATGGCTCTCTCATGTCAATGCTACTCTCGACAAGTCCCCCCGCTACCCGAAGAGCAACTGCTAAGCAGATTGAATGCTCTGATTTGATTGTTTCATCATTCATACAATGCAAAACCCCTGCTTCTTAACATCAGTGGCACTCCTATTGTTGTTGGAGGCGCCTTCCAACAACTTCCCCGGGCCAATCATCAATGACATCAGCGGAGCTCACCAAACTGAGACTCACGCACACGCGCATGCACTTGCACACATAGAGTCAAAACTCAACAAGTAAGCACGGGGCATACATGCAAGATCGCTTTATCACAAACATATGCAGAGAACAAAGCAAACAAAAGTCTGAATCGGAATCCTTAGCAAAAACGTCAACGGGACCACGGACAGGATTTTGTCATAAAAGATCACACTTCTTGCACTGCACCAAAAAAAACGATGGTGCAAAGGTAGCGGCTTCCCAAACAAAACACTGGCAGATTAAGAAACAAAAAAGGTTCGGTGGTGGTATTCCCTCCTATTGCTTGCACGCGGATTTCTGTCTGCGCTCAGGCTCTTCTTTTTGTTTGTGTGAAAGAAGCGGGCGGCATATGAAAGGGCAGTTCCTTATGCTGTTTCTTTCTTTTGTGCATTTTAGTTTTCTGTTGTTGCGGGCGAAGCCGCAACGGGTCATCTAGTGTATGTATATTATATTAGCACTCTTTCGGGTCAGAGGCATCGGTAATGAGTGTGCGTTGTGTCCGGGGGAAGACGGAAGTGGAGGTTCGATCCGTGGTGTTGTGATCTGGAGATGGGTACCACAGCGGGGGGTATGTGAACGTGATGGGTGGGATTAGTCACTGCCCTTTACGTCAAGTGGTGTAGGGGAGCAGGTTCTGTACGCGTCTGGTAGTAAGGGATAAGCAGGTTAGGTACAGGTTTGGCAGTAGGGCTCCAACAGGGGGGGTTTCCGTACAAGTTGGGCCGAGGTAGGTGGAAGCGATGGGTCGTTCTGGTGGTGGCGGGTGTGGCTGGGATTGGTTCGACGGGTTTCGGGGGGATAAGCAGGTGCACTACATACAGGGATGGCAGGCCCTCTGATCTCCAATGGGTTCGTCATATGTGATCACGTGGTGGTATGAGCCCACATAAGATTAGTCCAGGAGAACGGGAAAAGAAATCAGCAACAGGTTCATCTCTTATTTCCTTGATTCGTCGGGCATGCAGCAGCTGATTGGGCAATTGAAGTTTCCTATTTTTAGAAATGCTGCGTGCACGCAAAAGTGTGTGTGTGTGTGTCTGTGTGTGTGTGTGTGTGTGTCCGCTTGGATATGGGCGTGTTGTGGCTTTTTGAATGTGGATGTCTTAAAGGGTGTGGGATTTTTCATATGTCTTGGAGCTGTGTATTGATGGATAGAATTGATTGGTTGAAAAGCTGTGTATTGATTGATTGGTTGGTTGGTGGATTTTTTGAATTGATTGGCCGGGCACGGAAAAGTATTGATGGAATGCAATTGTTGTTCCGCTATGGTTCAGCAGGAAAGACGAGTTTGGCTTGGCTTCAATCCTATCGGTTGACGAGCGATGCGAGAGGAGATTTGGCACTGGAAAACTGTGTTTGCTGCTCTTCTCTACCTTAATCGGGGGAATTGTTCAGTTGGCATCACCGATTCTTTGTCGATAGCCCTGACAGTTCTGGTCATGCCGAGGTTGTCCTGGCAATAACAAGGTAGAAAATCTGATTGGCGCGAAGACAGTCCGCCACGTTGGCCTTGACGGGGGGAAGAATTTAGATTGGTTGGCCGAAGCAATTCCTTTTTGTGTAGAGGCCGCAGGAATTCGCAGGAATTCCTTCTTTCCGTTTAGAGTCCTGTTCTCTCAGATCTGGTTGCTCGTTCGGTGAAAGCTTCGCCTTCACCTCAGCAGCCGGTCAGGATGGGTAAACAAAAGGGGGGTGCAGCTACGCAGACACAACAGAAAGAGAGCGCATTTAGGAGCACAACATCCGATAGGCGTGGCAGAGATGAGGAGAAGATGATGACAGCGACAGGGAAAGGCGTTGTGGCTGGAAAAGGTGGTGTTTTTCAGCAGCCGATGGTTGCGGCACGCTCTCCGTCTAGTCCTCAACATGTAGTTAAGAAGGGTCTTCAGGTCCCTGGCAACAAAGGTACTGCTGCAGCTGCTGCTGTTAGAGGAGCCCTTGGTGCTGCAGTGGAGTTGGCAGAGAGGGGTGCAGTGCAGGTTGTGGACGTGGAAAGCATGAAGGGCCTCCAAATCTATTGGAATCTAGCCTCAATTGATGACCGTGTGCGGCAAGTCGCAACGGAAGCGCTCGTGAAAGAAATTAAGGAAGGGCAAGAAGCGTTCGAGAGAGGTGGCAACGATGGCAATGTAAGTGTGGGTGCACTGCTGGGAGGGGGAGACGAAGTGAAAGAACTGCTCAAGGATTGTTCGCCCGGCCTGCAGTATGCATTGCGCAGGCTCATCAGAGGCATGGCATCTTCACGCCAGGGTGCACGGCAGGGGTTCTCGCTGGCCTTATCTCGCTTGATGGCCGAGGTCGAGTGCATCTCGGGGCACGTAGTCTTGAAACTAATCGACAAGGCGCTGGCGATCACTGGGAGCATGAAAGGGATTGAAGCCCGGGATAATTACAATGGGAGGGTTTTTGCATTTGGAGCGATCGTGCGATCCGAACGGTTGATTGGCGACGGGACCGAGGACGGTCAAGCTGATTTGGCGCGGGAAGTGGTCGATCAGGTTCTCCAGATCGCTACGCGCAAAGTTTTCCTGAGAGAAGCAGCAGTGCAGATTGTGCTGGACCTTGCCTCCAGGCTTCCCTCCGAATCTCTCCAACGTTGCATATTCAGCGCTTCTACTTTCACCGAGTGGCTTACCATGGACGCCGAGCAGGCCTTCCCCGAGGCTGTCCGGCTTGCCTGTGAGATGTGGGAGCACCTGCCGGCATCGATGATCAAGGACACTCCTCTTCTTCCAGACTCTGGGGAGCGAAGTGGCTTCTTCAAGCCATCCCATTTGTCTGTTCTCGTGCCGGCGTTGAAAGCTTCCACACATTGCCATCCACGTGTCCACACGGTGTGGCGGCCGATCATCGATCTGCTCTTCTCTGTGTCGCGGACTGGTGTCCCCATGCAAGCATCGGATGTCGGCAAGAAGAAGAAGGATAAGAAGAAGAAACGAAAGAAGGATGCAGAGGGGCCTGGGGACGGCGAAGCACGTGCAACGGATGGAGATGGTGATCCACCGCTTGCTTCTTCTTCCGCCACCGAGGCGCAACTGGATGAAGAAGTGTCATCGTTCTGGAATGTTGTTGTTGAGGGAGGATTGGTGACCTCCTCTCACGAGAGGAGGGCTTTGGCCTTGCAGTTGCTGCTGCTTCTGCTCCCCCGACTGCGAAGCAGTCACCTCTCCATTGTTTTGTCAAGAGGCATCATGCAGTGTCTGTCGGACAGCCTGTTGTCGAAAGATCGGACTTTGCATCTGTCTGCGAAGCGGTGGCTGCAGGAACTTGTGGAGTGGGGCGAGAAGGAGGGGGAGAAAAGCGGGATAAGGGTGGCAGTGCTAGCAGCGCTACAGCAGCAGCACGGTAGAGGAGGATTCGATAAGGTCCTTAAGGATGGTGGTATTCTTAGACGTCTGTCCGACAGCCTTGGCAAGGACGAGTCAAAGCAATACCTGAGCTTTCTGAAGGAGCAGTTTCACAGGCCTTCTCCGGATCCTAGCAGGCTAGAGAACAATGCAGATGAAGAGCGGGAGGAGGAACAGCAGAAACAGGAGAAGCGGAGAATGATGGCTCAGCGGGAAGAGGATCAAATGATCTGGATGATTGACCAGATGTGCACCGTCTGTAAAAGCAGGCAGCTGGACATTCTTGCAAAGCGCGAGCTTTCTCTGGATGTCCTTAAGTTCTTGGTTGTGCATGCGTTTTTCAGAGTCAGAAAGCCTGTTAAAGGGGAGAAGGTGTGCATGCCAGAAATAAAGAGTTTTTGGAATGACGATCTGCCAAAAGGCGTTAGAGAGGTATGTGCAACGAAGCTCGTTGGCTTGGTTACTGCTGTTAGGAACTTGCGCGAACCGTGGGGGGTTCGGCACTCTACTGCAAACTGTCAGGATGGTGGCGCGAAAAATACTTCGGAGGAGAGGAAGGACGGAAGGTCGGGTGAGACCGTTGAAACCGAGCAAGGGAAGTCGAGCAAAGGAAGCGTTGAAGAGAAAGACAATGGCCAAAGGTCCGGAAGTGATGCCATACTGTTTGAGTTGATTGAGTGGGTGGAGAAGATAGAGAGCCTGCCTGTTGTGACCCCCGTCCACCAGGGCAGTGACGATGACCAAGTAGTGGGCAGGATGATTGGGAGTGCAGTCGGGATGATGAAAGGGCAGCTGAAATCATCTCGGGGGTTGGACCGATCAAGTCGTGAAGCATGCATGAGACTGCGGTCGATGTGTGCTTTGCTTGTTCTGCTGCGGCTGCAGGTCATGATAGAGCCTGGCACTCTTTCGGAAACTGTGAGGGAGCTGTTGATTTGTTGTAAGAAGGCATTTCCAGATGTGCTGACGGAGCTGGACGTCCAGGGGGGGGAAGCAGAGGGAGAGAAGGACGAACCCGCTTTCATGGATGTTTTGGTGGATATCCTTTTGTCCCTTCTGGCAAAACCATCAGCGGGGGTACGTGACGCAGCGGAGAAGGTTTTCCAATCTTTCTCAGGAATGCTGACGGAGACTGGCCTGCAGGACATGCTGCGAGTGTTGAGGAGGCCTGTAGGAGACTCGCGACCGGTGCACCTTGCTGGGGTGCAGAGCGACGATGATGAGGAAGATGAGGACGTGTCTGAAAGTAGTGATGGTGATGGAGAGGATCATGATGAGGATGAGAGCCAGGATGCCAATGGTGAAAGAAAATCTGAGGGATCAGAAACTGATGATGATGATGATGACAGCAATGATGGCAACGGCGAGGGCGACGATGAAGAAGAAGAAGACCACCTCCCAAAGAAGAGAACACTTGGAGGCAAGAAAAGAGGGAGGGAAGAAGAACAGCAACAGCTGGGTAAAGAAGACAAGGCAGGCAAGAGTAGCGGTGATGAAAGTAGTGATCTAGAGGAGGGTGATGACTTAGATGATGAGGCAATGTTCCGAGTCGATGAGAAGTTGGCGGCCATGTTCAAATTGAGGAAAGAAGCTCTTGGGGGGGGAAACGCCAAGGAGTCCAAGCTAGAGCAGCTGCGGTTCAAGTGCCGGGTTCTGTCATTGATTGAACGCTTCTTAAAGAACAACTCTGGTAGTCCTTTCGTAGTCAGCATGGTGTGGCCTTTACTGAAGGCAATGGCAAATGCGGCGGTGATTGAAGAGGGTGCAGAGTTCACAGGTAAGCTTGGGTCCGTTTTGAAAGCAGGAGTTTGCAAGGGGCGAGAGATACCCAAGGGAGATGGTGTAGATATCACGGCAGTTCGGCATCTCCACAAGCGGTGTGTGCTCATGGCTTTCCAGTCGCGCCATCCACTGATTGGCAGTGCTGCCGAGGCGTGCTCGCGCTGGGCACTGCGTGTGCTTCATGCCAACATTGAAAACCTTGCTCTTGATGGAGACGCTACCTTGGCAGAGGTTTATGTCACTGCATTAGACCGGTATTTCCTGAAGAAGACATCCAGGGCGAACCTGGACGCGTTTCTCAATGTGATTCGGACTTACGACTGGTTGGGGAGGGGTATCATTTCCAGGGTGATTGTTTACTGTGAAAAGGGGAAGACGGAATTTTGTCAGGTCACGGCGTTGAAGCTTCTTCTGGACATTCTGCGAGTGAAAGGGAATGCTGCCCATCATGGACACCCTCCTCCTCACAAGGAGGGGAAGGGCGGTACAAAAGATACAGCTGCCTCACCAGTTCCCAGAACCTTGGCAGCAGCTACTTCTCCGCACATTCCCGAAGTAGGCAGATTGATTCATGCAATGATAAAGAAAAAGAAAAAGTGTCAGAAATCCAGCTGGTATGCAGACGTATTGAAGGTGTGTAAATCTTTACTGGAAGCGCTCACACAGGTGCTTAGCGATGTCCCTGGCTGGGCCCGAGACCTTGATCTTGCAAGATTGATAAGGGCTCTCGAAAAGAAGGAGGATGGTGATGCTTTCACACCCAAGGTGCGTGCGGCGGAGGAAGCTTTGTGGACCGTATGCCAATCACTGAGCAAAGAATCTTCGACTGGCGATGACTCAGGCAAGAGTCGCGAAGGTGGTCAATTGAAGAAAGAGAAGGAGAAGAAGAAGAAAAAGGAAAAAGAAGGAAAGGGGAAAAGCTCGCTGAAGTTGGCATCCGCAACAAGTGATGCTACGACGAATGGTTCAGCAGATGGTGTCTCCACGGGGGATGAACATGTAGGTCACGGGGATACCGAGGAGGAGGAAGGATTGGCAGAGCAGAAGGGAAAGGCAAGCAATGGAGAGGACTGTCCTTCAAGCAGCAAGAAGAAGAAAAAGAAAAAGGCCGGGCACAACGAAGTCACTAAAGAAGAGGCGGTGGGGAAAAAGAAAGACCGAAGTTTAAAAGCACGAAAGGTCGCGTAATGTGTGCCAGTCCTTTTCCTTTTGCATTGTAGGGGGGGGGGAGAGAGAGAGAGAGAGAGAGAGAGAGAGAGAGAGAGAGAGAGAGAGAGAGAGAGAGAGAGAGAGAGAGAGAGAGAGAGAGAGNGAGAGAGAGAGAGAGAGAGAGAGAGAGAGAGAGAGAGAGAGAGAGAGAGAGAGAGAGAGAGAGAGAGAGAGGTATGGTTGAATTCACGGCGGGACTGGTGTGGGCTGTGCTCTTGGATGGACTATTTGCACCTTTGTGTACTGTACTGTGCAATTCTCTCCGATTCCTGGATGCGAGTGTCAGTTAAGCTTTTCGCTTGAGAGCGTGGTTGTGACATTTTTGGCAAGTGACGAGAAAGCGCTTGTTTGTAGCAAGTTCCATTATGATTTTCTGTTGTAATTTGTAACAATTCCTTTTTGCCCTTCTCAAGTGATGTGCTCCGACATTGTTCAGATTCCCAATTTCTCACTTTATAGTCTGTGTGTGCAATAAAGACAGGTCCGAATGTCCCTGTGCTATCTGACCGCTTGGAGTTTCACGCTTTGACATTTCTGCGAAAATCAACCGACTGCAGCGATTCCCCTGCTGTCGGCTGTTAGCACCAGCCTCACTGACCGACCTGTCAACCCTTCTTCACTGAAGCTGCTCCCACCTAATGTGTCCTGTGGACTGTAAATCTTGTCTCCTGTGCGGTACAGTTCTCTTTTTTGTTGCTGTTTTTTTTTCATTTTTTTCAATTGCATTTTCCCTTTTTTTTTTCTTTTTTTTTTGTGAAAGAAACTTCTCCTGCGGGTGCTAGAGGTGTTGATCAGCGTTTGCATTTTTCCTGTTTTTCTCACGAGGGAAAAAAAAAACAAAAACTTATAGGCATAACTCCATTGTACCTGGTCCACCCTCCCGACCGAGGGAAAAAATAACCTTATGGGCAGGCATAACTCCATTGTGTCTGGTCCGCCCTCCCGACCGATGGGTTGGCGATGGTGTTATCACTTAGGGTGGAGGTTATTAGATTGCAAGTGCGGTTCAAAACGTTCACAAACGCTCAAGGCTAAATGACAATAAATCCCTACACGCAAAGAGCATTATGTAATGAACACATCAGAAGACGAATCTGGGAAACAAACCCAATACATACAGATGTCTGTGAGCGGATACGTCGGACAGATGCGTTTTCAACTTTTCATCCGTCCGCTGTCATCTCTTCCCTGAAGCCCTGAGCATGTGGACATGTTAGTCAAGGGTGCTGTGGCCTGGCGACTACGTCTGTACGCACCTAAGGGAAGTTTGTGCACATGCCAGAAAGGCAAGGGGGGTTGTAAAATGCGTTACACAAAAAAGGGTAGGGGCTATAAGGGTCCGAAGACTCCGAACACACATGAAAGTTGGATGGCAAAGAAAGGGGGTAGCAGGGGGGGATGTCAGGTGGTCTCTCAAGGTGCTCTACAGTGTACACGCAAAGGGAGGTGGGAGCGGGACCATTGAGGGTATGAGCGTCAAGCAGGTGCATGCTCTGTGTGTATGTGTGTATTGGGGGAGGGAGGGGAAGTGAAGGAGAGAGGGGGGGGGAGAAGAGGGACATGGGCGGGGCCGAGAGAGAGAGAGATCGGGGGGGAGGGGGGCAGGGATGAAGCTGATGATGGCAGACCACAGGCTTCAGGAGGCTTTGAGGTCCTAGAATGGGAACAAGGGAGGCTGTAAGGAACTCTGCTGACCTATGGTTTACCATGCTATGCCATCATATGCTGTGCTGTGCTGTGCTATGTCATGCGGTGCTTTGAAAGGCCATGGTGTCCTATCCTATGGTGTGGTATGCTATGCAGGGTTGAGCATTTTGCCCCCTCCCCCATCTGGTTACATCTCTTCTATCAGCATATCTGTCTCCCTCGTAGCAAGACAAACATAAATCGAGTACCAACGATGCTGGCAGAACGCATGATGTGAGTGCTGCTGTGTACGATGTGGAATACCAGCTGCTCCATGTACCAGTCCTATCTAGTGTGCGGATTTTTTCGGGGCACTAAATGTGATGTTCTTATACTTTCAACATTAACGCAGCTATTTGACAAAGGAAAATGGGCAAAAAAAGGTCAATGCGAAAGGAGATGCGAAATCTCTAGAACAGCTCTCATACATTGAGTCTGAGTCTGTGTACTTTTTTTATATTCTCAGATCATGACTCAATTACAAGCACTCACACTCAGCTGGCACCAATCAGCCAACCATACCACGAATGAACCCTTTCTTCACTGCCCTGCTTATGCACTCAATCCTAAACCTCATCTTCTACATTTCCATCTAATCAATCACTACAACATCCTAAACACTCCAGCCGGATTCCCTGCTTTCTCTCGCTCCTCCTCCTCCCCACCCATCCCCGGCCTTTCTCTCGTTCTTACAGTACGTGCACACACATGCCAGCTGACAGACGCATCTTGTGCACAAACGCTCATGCACATGCGTATGGCTCCTCCCTCCCTCCCTCTCTCTCTCTCTCTCTCTCTCTCTCTCTCTCTCTCTCTCTCTCTCTCTCTCTC